AGGTCTGGACGTGCTTTTGCACAAGAAGTTTTTGTGGAAGATCTCTTCCGCAAAAGGCTTCTTGTGCAAAAATCCTGCAGTGTAGACAAAGCCTATGTAAATGAGAAGAATCATTAGTTTTGCCCAGGAAGGCTTTTAGGTTACTCTGTAATGAGCCCATGTTTCCTCTTACTTTTGCACAAGATAGTTTTCACCATCAGGTGTGGTCCACAGTCTGGTCCTATGCATTTGCCTTCTAAGTGATTTATACACTGATTTTTTCATTGTTCTGTGATTTTTCTCAGCATTGGAAACTGATGGGTTATTTCCTGCCTCTTTCCTCCCTTTTCTACACTTGTGCATTAGTAGGATGTTTTCTTTTCCCCAGTTTTCTGCACCTTCCATGAATTTTCAGAGATGATAGGTTCTGCATTTTCTTGCAGAAGTATTATTACTACTTATTTATAGCCCATGGATATGTGTCATCCAAGTCCATTGATGCTGTATGTAACAAGAAAGTGTAATAGCAGGTGTCACCCTCCACTTATTGATCATTCAGCCTGTTTTACCTTCACCTCTTTCCTCACTTGATAGTTTATAGTAGATGCTGAGTATTAATATCCTTTTATTCCATTAACCTATAGCACTGAATTAAGTATTTCTCTACTAATTAGACTTTAATTACATTCCTTTTCCTTGTCCTTTCTAGCGTTCAATACCAATATTCCAGCTATGTGATTTATCCCACCAATTTTATACTGCCAGCCAAGCCATAACTCTTTCTTTATTCTTGTTTGTTTTCCATGATCCTGGTAATTGATACTTCAGAAAGTTATTGTTCTAATCCTTCCGAAAGTGTTCCTCTTATGTTTCCTTCCTCTTACGTTTCCATTTGCTCTTTCTGACACATATGGATATAAATGCCCCCCCACATTTTCTATTTAAAACTCACCTGGGAAATCTTGGCTTGTCTTCAATCCAGGTGGTTTTCTCTGCATCTGTTCAAGTGGAAGCTGTCATATATGAACAGTCCCCTTGCACTAGAGTAGCATAACCATTTCATGAATTAAAGCTTTATTAGCAGATCCATTGAAACACTATGCTTGCTGAAGTGCATACACATCTGTAAGACACCCCAGTGACTTCTGAAAAAGGGAACAAGGTTCACGAGAGTAGCAAGAGCATGCATTCATGAATTAAAATAAAGCCTTGTGAGCAGACCCCATGATACACGGTGCTTGCTAAATACATATTTGCAGGACATCCCAGTGGAACCTAGGTTTTTGCCATCACAGAATTATGAAAGCATTGGGGTAGGTTCACACTCTAGCAAATATTGGTGCTTTCTGCTTTAGGTATGTGGCTTACAACTTATTTTGCTTTCCAAAAGCTTGGCATGCTATTAAGAAACTTACAAGGACTGGCAATACTAGGGCTTGCAAGTCTGTCAACTTTCTTTGTTGAGATGAGAAGAGAGAAGAAAAGAGGTTCACTTTTAAAGATGCTCTGAAAATGTTTTGGAGATACTTTAAACAATCTGTTAAAGATTTCAAGTCTATTAACCATGTGAAGGCTTTTCAGTGGTTGACTCAGCATGAATTGGTGGTCTCGCTTCAGTCCTTAATGATCATGTGCCCAGGTCACAGAATCAAAACTAGCTCTAACTGGGATGTTATGGCAGTCCAAGCTGAGAGACTAACTAATAGGCATGAATATTAATCCACAGACTTTTCTTACTTGTTTCCACCTAATCAAGATTGAATCACATCACCAGGGCAGTGTATGGGATTATTCCAATAACTATACTGAGCTGTTTTGTGGTCAAATGATGATTAATAATGTGCTTTTTATTCTGCATTTCATCAGAAAGGGTCTAAAATGGTTTGTAAACTACACGTATTCAGACCATGGCATTGTGACTGCAGTTGGGTTGGACCAGGGCAGCCGGATAGCCAGTTCAAAGCATACTGCTCAACAGCATGAAGAGGGGAGAAAGTGGTGCATTGGTCCTTGTGCAGGCTTGCTGCCCTGGGGTGAATTTCATCCTAACAAGAAAATATGTAAACAAGGCATTTGAAAAGAAACTCCCCTTTTCCATATCCACCAAGACCTGAGTTAGGGTGTCATTGCCATCCATGTAAGAGTTGGTGTCTATTATAAAAAGGTAGGAAAATGTTTTACTTTAGTTCTCATTAACTTAATCAGTGCTTGAAGAAAAACACTGTCAATAATAGGAAGAGGAAATTATTTTAAAAAACACTGATTTTAAACTGTAAGTTTATAGTTGTTAAGTATTCCCATATAATGCCCTACAGTATTAATTGAGGGTATTTCCAGTATCTTAGCATATTGTGCAGATGGAGACAGCCTGCTTAGAACAGAAGCAATATTGTTCCATTGGAAGAGAATCTCTAGCCTCTATTTGTCAGAAGCTGGGAATGGATGATGGGATGGATCACTCAATGATTACACTGCTTTGTTTATTTCCTCCGAAGCACCTGAAATTGGCTTTTGTCAGAAGACATGATACTAGGCTAGATGGATCATTATGACCCAGTGTGGCTGTTCTTATGTTCTTTTTTTAACTTACGAGGTTGAGTAGCACAGGTTAAACCTCTGTGGTCTGGGAGTCTCTGATCCGGCAATATCTGTGCTGGATGTTGCTGGACCAGAGAGCCCCTGGACCAGAGAGCCTTGATGGCTAGGAGCAGGGACTGGCAGGAAGTTCAGCAGTGGAGGGCCAGGAGCAAAGCCCAGCCAGGGCTGGCAGTGCATCTCAGTGACTGAGGCTGGAAGTGTGTTTGGTGGCCATGAGGGGACCCCAGCCCAGAGGCCAGCAGCAGAGGGGCCAGGATTGACCATCCCTGGTCTGGTAAACTCCCTCGTTTGGGATCATTCAGGTCCCGAGGGTGCTGGACCAGGGAGGTCCAGCCTGTATTCAGAAACCTCATTGTGTGCAGGGCAGAAGCCAGCTCTCCTGGAGATCCTGGCATGCTGGTGTACAACTGGCATTGGAGAGTAGTGTAGGCTGGGGGGGAGGGAAAAGGAAAGGTTATGCTGGCTCTTGTCTTCTCTCTGCCATGCAGAGGACTGCAAGAGTATTCCAGGCCCCATGTCCCTGCTGGTGCCCATCAGTCTGCTATGGATGTGGGTAAGTTCTTCCCTCCCAGCTCTGGAGTATTTCTTTAACATGTGGATTAGCTGTTCAGGCTGTGTGCGTGGCAGTGCTTTGAGACTTAAATGGGACATAAGTTTTGGGGTGAACATTCTGCAGCAAAGCAAATTTTACTCTTTATTTGTGGGAAGAAATGGATGATCGAAATAGGAAGTGCTTTCAGTGGAATTAACAATTCAATATGACCATGGACTTGGTCACAATATCAGAATAAGTTTATATTAATTTAAATGTCCCATCTGAGAAAGAAAACACACATTAAAGCAATTTATAAGTTGCATTTCCAGGGGGGTGGTTGAAAATTTACAAAGGAGATAAAAGGAGTTGCCTGTTTCTCATCAGAGTTGTCAGGTATAAAATGTCTAAATCTTCTTTCACTGAGTCATGATCATCAGTGAATTGCATATTTAAAGGAAACAGTGTTTCTCTTATAAGAATTTCCTATTTTAATGTATTATTATTATTGCACATAAGTATAAGATTATAGGGAGAGGGAACAATGAAGAATGGATAACTGAAGATATCTCCATTCTAGCCTTTGAAGCAACTCAAGCAAACTAAGATTTCTGAAGGTTCTAGAAAGTTTAGTTAATTTTATTACTTCTCTCTCATGCACTGCCTAATTTTGACCCAAAGTGGAAGTATTATAATATCAAGAGAAGAGCTTTTCTCAGATTCTGTTCCCACAGCTTATGTTGAATAGCACCTTATATAGTAAGTCACCTTGGGAAGTAAGGATGGCAGAATCTGGCCCATAGTGTTTCAACTCAGCCAGCAGAAGATGTACAGGAAAACTCATAAGAAAGCATGTTATCTTAAATGTACAGGGCAGAGCACCTATTCTGTGTTGTGATGAACACCTCTGTTTACTGAACACCTTTAACTACCATTGCAGCCAATAAGAATTAAGGGTATGTCTACAAAACAGGGCTGAATTAAGTTTTGAAACTTCAGCTATGTCAGTTGCATAGCTTAAGTCAAAATAGTTTAATTCGGCATTTGGCACTGTCTACATAGCAGGAAGTCAAAGGAAGAACATTCTTCCTTTGACTTCCTTTACTCCTTGTGAAATTAGGGTTACCATGAGTCGGAGTAAGAAGTTCTCCAGGTCAGCACTATTTTGAAACAAAGGCTTTTAGGCTACGTCTACACTGGCCCCTTTTCCGAAAGGGGCATGTTAATTTCACAGGTCGTAATAGGGAAATCCGCGGGGGATTTAAATATCCCCCGCGGCATTTAAATAAAAATGTCCGCCGCTTTTTTCCGGCTTTTAGAAAAGCCTGAAAAGAGCGTCTACACTGGCCCCGATCCTCCGGAAAAAACCCTTTTCCGGAGGATCTTATTCCTAATTTGAAGTAGGAATAAGATCCTCCGGGAAAGGGCTTTTTTCCGGAGGATTGGGGCCAGTGTAGACGCTCTTTTCAGGCTTTTCTAAAAGCCGGAAAAAAGCGGCGGACATTTTTATTTAAATGCCGCGGGGGATATTTAAATCCCCCGCGGATTTCCCTATTACGACCTGTGAAATTAACATGCCCCTTTCGGAAAAGGGGCCAGTGTAGACGTAGCCTTAGTGTAGATGCACACAATGTTATTTTGGAATAATGTTAGTTATTCCGAAATAACACTGCTGGGTAGACATACCCTTACGGTGCTCAGCAAGTAACAGGAGCTTTTCCGCACTTTATGAAGTTTACCTATCATTAGCAAGTTGATGCTATGAATTATTCTAACAGTGTTCTACTTTGAGTACTACTAATGCTTTGTTTACATACCAACTGATTTTCATTAAGTTAATACAATACTATTTTAATTTTGAAATGTATTTACTATATTTATTCTTTGACAGGATTTTCGTCTGCTTCTGTGTTTTTCTCACTACATACTCCATCAGCAGATAGCACCTTGTGACCAATCTCCACCACTCCAATTTGTTACACCTTCAGTACTACCCTAAATGCTCTTCAATAACCAGAATATACTAGGGTCATCTGCTGTATAGATTGTGACATAGAAAAGCTGCCATCACTTACTTCCTCTCATTTATGTCCCTGTAGTAACTCTTGTTTCAGAAGAGTTATATTATTGTTAATCATCCTACTGAATAATACCTCAAATCCTCACTGGAAAGTGCATCACCATTGGGGAAAAAATCTGGATCCTGGAAAAAGATTCATATCCTCTGCATGAATCAGAATCATAGAGACGTCTGGAAGCAGACATTTACATGGTTCAGTTGAAGTCTGAAGGAGCGAAGTGTGGAAATTCTTCACAAAATCATTCTCTCTCTCCCACCTGTAACTTACCTTCACTTTATGCTGTATATTTCAGTGAGTCACTCAGCAGATGCAAGAACTTTCCCAGTCCTGAATTATATAAGCATATATGACTCTTCAGATGCTAATGGAAGGTGGAGAAAGTCTAGTCCATGAATTGCTGCTGATGAATAGCCATTTAGGCTCAAATTAAAGCAACATTCCTCATCTTCAGTAATTTATTTTGATACATAAAGCTAATATTGTAACATTTGTGTTTTCTGTTTTCTTGAGCAAATGCTTTAAATTGCGGTTTTACAGAGTTATGATTATACAATACCTTAAATTATACTTATAAGTAAAAAAGTTAAAGCTTAGTGTTTAATCCAGCAACACCTCTGTTATAAATGAGCAATAGTGCATGTTGTTTCCTTCGGAATTAATTATTTTTACTATTGTGGACTCCAGCAGTTTTTGTTGTAAAACAGAATTAAGATATTAGTATTCATGGGTATTTTAACATGTCAAACATTAACATTAAAGTTTTATATTTAAAAAAAATAAAATATCTATTTTTGGTTTACATTTTGACAAACACCAGAAAGAGGGAAATACTCAGCTGGAATGAATGAAAGGAATGAAGTGTATTTGTGCCTGTTGATTGAGGAAGCTATTTCTTTAGTATGTATGATTTCTTGCACATGCACCATTTCATTCATCTGAATAGTCTCATTTGAGATCCATGGGACTTCGCACTTGCGCATGTTTGTAGAATTGTGGCCTTATCAGCAGAAAGGCTGGTCTGTTCAGAAGCCCCACACACCCAATGTATCCTCTTTGTGGCCAGAGAGCACTATACATTTCATACTGCATTGACCCAAGATTTGAAGTGTCTGGAGCAAGAGTCTGAAAGATCTATAGTCTGTTCCTATTTCTTTCACTGACTTACTCTGATACCTTCAGCAAAGTATGTGACTTCTGTGTGCATTTCCTGCCTGCAGTAAGAGGATGATAATAACTAGCTGTCTGAGGTATTGTGAGATTAAAGTGCCTTCAGATTCTATGCTGGAAGAGGCCATAGAAATATTATTATAGCTCCTTAATTCTCAAGTTTTCTGTAGTTCTTATCCATGGTTACAAAGCAAGTGGGAGTCTCTCCAGGTCCAGGGTGTTAGCCCTGGTCTACACTAGGAAATTATTTTGAAATAACTCTCTGTATTTCGAAATAACAGGTGGAGTGTCCAGACTGTCAAGCCTCTTATTTTGAAATAATGGGCTGGTTATTTCAAAATCTGTACTCCTGCATTCCTCGGGGAAATAGTTATTTTGAAATAGCATTCCCCCCCCCACCACCCTGCTTACCTGGTTCCGCAGGGAAGCTGCGTTCTGGCTTGATCACGAAAACAAAATGGCCACTGGCAAAAAGCCTAAAGACCAAAGGGAAGCAATGCCTTCCCTGGGTCTTAGTGCTCAACCTCTCCCCTGTTCCTATCCCTATTCTGACTGCATGCACTCTTAAAGGGGCCAGAGTTATTAAATTGATTTTAATTATTTAAAAAGTTTCCTAATGTAGACATGCCCTTGAAAAGTACTTTTCCAGTGGTCTGAGGTTTTTTCAATTTGTTTTAATTAGAGAGCTGCTGTTTGCATTTGTGACAGTGTATATGAGATTTGTAACAATTCATAAGACCATAAAAACATAAGAATGGCCGTACTGGGTCAAACCAAAGAGCATCTAGCCCAGTATCCTGTCTTCCAATAGTAGCAAATGCCAGGTGCGTCAGAGGAAATGAAGAGAACAAGTAATCATCAACTGCTCCATTCCCTGTTGCTCATTCTCAACTTCTGGCAAACAGAGGTGAGGGACACTATCTCTGCCCATCCTAGTAATCACCATTGATGGACTTATCCTCCATGAATTGATCTAGGGTTTTTTTTAACCCTATTAGAGTTGTGGCATTTACAACATCTTCTGGCAAGGTGTTCCACAGGTTAAATTTGCATTGTGTGAAGCATTACTTCCTTTTGTTTGATTTACATCTGCTGCCTATTAATTTCATTTGGTGACACAAAGTTCTTGTGTTATGAAGAGGAATAAATAATATTCCTTTTATTTACATTCTCCACACCAGTCATGATTTTATAGACCTCTGGTATAACCCTCCTCTTACCTGTCTCTTTTCCAAGCTTGTTAATCTCTTCTCAGACAGAAGTTGTTTCATACCCCCATCATTTTTGTTGCCTCTTTCTGAATTCTTTCCAATTCCGATATATCTTTTTTGACATGGAGTAACCACATCTGCACACAGTATTCAAGATGTAAACATACCATGGATTGATACAGAGAATATATGATATTTTCTGTTTTATTATCTTTCCCTTTCTTAATGATTCCCAACATTCTGTTTGCCTTTTTGACTGCTGCTGCACATTGAGTGGATGGTTTTAGAGACCTGTTCACAATGACTCCAAGATCTCCTTTTTGAGTGGTAACAGCTAATTTAGACCCCATCATATTATATGTATAGTTGGGATTGTGTTTTTCAATGTGCATTACTTTGTATTTATCAACATTATATTTCATTTGCCATTTTGTTGCCCACTTGTCCAGTTTTGAGACATCGTTTTGCAGCTCTTTGCCTGGGACTTAACTATCTTGAGTTGTTTTGTATCATCTGCAAATTTTGCCACCTCACTGTTTACCTCTTTCTCCAGATCATTTATTAATATATTGAATAGGACCGGTTCCAGAATCTGCCCTGCGAGGGGCCACCACTACTTACCTCTCTCCATTCTGAAAACTGACCATTTATACCCATTCTTTGTTTCCTATATTTTAACCAGTTACAAGTCCATGAGAGGACCTTCCCTCTTATCCCATGACAGCTCACTTTGCTTAAGACCTTTGGTGAGGGTACCTTATCAAAGGCTTTCTGGAAATCTACGTATACTATATCCACTAGATTCCTCTTGTTCACATGCTTATTAACCCCCTCAAAGAATTCTTGATTGAGGCATGATTTTCCTCTCCAAAAACCATTTTGACTCTTCCCCAACAAATTGTGTTCATCTGTGTGTCGGATAATTCTGTTCTTTAATTTCAGCATAGTTCTGAAGTAAGGCTTATCAACCCATAATTGTTGGGATTACCTCTGGAGCCCCTTTCAAAAATTGGCATTACATTAGCTGTCTTTCAGTCATTTGGTACAGAAGCTGATTTAAATGATATGTTACAGACTACAGTTATGAGTTCTGTAATTTCACATTTGAGTTCCTTCAGTACTCTCAGATGAAAGCCATCTGGTCCTGATAACTTATTACTGTTTAATTTATTAATTTGTTCCACGACCTCTTCTAATGACATCTCAATCTGAGATAGTTCCTGGACTAATGGCAGTGGGACCAGCAGACATGAGCCCTGCTGGGGCTGTGAGCACAGTGGGGCTGGTGGCAGGGGTCAGCAGCAGCAGGGCCGGTGGTTGGGAGGATAGCTTAGGAGTGGAGGTGGAAGCCAGCAGGGGAGTCCAGTGCCCGGGGGAGAGCACAGAAACCTGCAGCAAAGAGGCTGGCGTGGACCTCTCCTGGTTTGGCAAAATCCCTGGCTTGGGACTGATCAGGCCCCAAGGTTGTCAGACTAGAGAGTTCCAATCTGTAGTGCAATTCTCCCATGCACATGACCTGTTCTGTTCTTCCGATATATTTTGTATTCTGGTATTACTGTACCCCTTTGATTATCCTCTTTCCACCAAGTTTCTCTGATGCCTATTATATCAATATCCTCATTCAATACAAGGCAGTCTAGTGTACCCATGTTCTTATTTAGACTTCTAGCATTTGTGTTTGTAAAAACTTGACATTATTTAGCTGTCTGCCATTATAAGCAAGCACTTGTTGGATAGTCAACTAGTAGCTCCCCCCCTTGCAGCCTTTATCAGATAGAGGCAGCAAGGGGGAGGGAAGAGGGGGTATTTAAAAGCAGCTGTGCTGCACATTCAAAGGTGGAATGTGGAAGTCCATCGACTACTAGACTAGTAAATTAATCACTAGTTAACATCCCTAGTTTGAATCACATGTTCTTCTGCATCTGTTGGCTTTATCCCAGCCCTTCGTTTAAAAACTGCTCTATACATTTTATAAGTGTGAGCAGTCTGGTTCCATTTTGGTTTAAGTGGAATCCATCCTTTCTGAATAGGCTCCCCCTTTCCCAAAAGTTTCCCCAGTCCCTAATAAATCTAACCCCCTCCACCATACATCATCATCTTGCCTATGCATTGAGATCTTCTGTTTCTGTGTGTGGCACTGGAAGCATTTTAGAGAATGCTATCGTGGAAGTCCTAGACTTCAATCTTTTACGTAGAAGTCTAAATGTGACCTCCAAGACCTCTCTCCTATTGTTCCCTACGTCACTGATACCTATAAGTACTACAACAACCAGCTCCTTCCCAACACTACTCATAAGTCTATCTAGATGTTTTGAGAGATCCACAACCTTTGTATCAGGCAGGCAAGTCACCATGCAGTTCTCCTGGTAATTGCAAACCTAGCTATCTGTGTTTCTAATTATTTGTTTAAACTACTTCTCTGTAGTGAGGAAAAAGAACTTGCTAGTGCCTTGAGAGAGTAGTTTAGTTGCACAAGGGTATCACCAGCCTCCTCCTTGGTGGGGGACTGAGGTATATCAGTCAGAAAATTAGGAGGGCATCGCCATGAGGCTCCATTCACCTCCATGACTCTGCCCTGTGGTCAGGTGAGAGGCTAGAAGCTGAAGCCAGGCAGTGTGCAGTGCTGGCTGATCAGAGCTGGTAAGAGCTGCCAGGGCAGGCGGACCCAGCTCCAGGGCTGGTAGAACCCTCAGGAGGCAGTCAGATTGGGTGTCAGGGCCCAGGACCCCAGGCCACAACAGGTCAGTCCAGCCTAGTGTGGCGACATGGTGCACCCTAGCATGTGGAAAAATGGACCAGAGGCTGCTCTTGGACATTCCTCCTGGGCTTACTTCTCCTGGCCAGCAGCTATTACTCCTTCCATTCTGCCTTTAGACTTGGGCAGTTGTTTAATGGTGGCTGCTAATGGGGAGGGGGGGGTGAGACGAGTAGGCAAATTTTAATGTTGTCTAGCTCCTACAAGCCCTCCCCACAGAGCTGCCCCTGGTTATAGAGGAAGAACATGCAGATATAGCCAGTTATGGTCTCCCTGTAGAGCAAGAAGTGGCTAGGAGCAAATCAAAATCTTGCATAATGGGAAGAGTTGGGTGTGCTATCCACCATTTGAACACTTTTCCAGAGATCCCATGGCAAGATGCAGAATTCTAGGTTTTATATAAAGGGAACAAGTAAATGTCTAGATCATATGTTTACAAGGAAAATCATTTAAATGTGAACTAATGTAGGATTGCCTTCTTATTATCAGGCAGTGAATAGTATGAAATTCCCTAATTTATTTCAATGGGATCCTAATGGTGATATTTATATCTCCACTACATTAATTGTTTGACTGCAAATAGCTGGAAGTTTCTGCGATAGTTATTGTGG